CGAATCTGTCAGAATTGTAATTTAAATGAGCTAGAGGATGAATTCCACATAATAATGAAATGGCCTTGTTTTAATGATTTGAGAAATCATTTTGTACCAAAGAAATATTTAAGGAAATGCACATCCAAATGTTTTGTTAATTCAATGAATGATTATGATCCAGCTGTAGTAGAAAACTTGCTAAAATTCTGTAAAGCTCCACTTGTGAGGAGAGCATGTTATCATTAATTACTGTACACTATGTTATCATTGAATATATAAGTATGATGACCCGCCATCACCTTGATGGAAAATTTGTATTTTTGTATACTTTGTATATGTGCCTGAGGCCTCAAGTACAAATAAACAGATTGATTCCGAGGCAGAACAATGTTTGTTCCCCGTGTGGTTGGTCACAATGCGTGGGGTCGTTGTTTGCTGACGTCATCACCCTGTGACGTGGATCGTTGCTCGCTCTGTCAACCTAAGGTTCAAAAGAGTGCCGTGGTTTGACTCGAATATGTCCGACTGTTGAGTAACATAAAAGAACGCTTCATTCCGATCACGCGTGGGGCGACGGGGCATGCTAGTGGTACAAACGTTCGCTCGTCAAGCCGGAGGTCCGGGTTCGATTCCCCTCGTGGTTCAATATGTGACGCCCATTTCTGGTGTCCCCCGACGTGATATTGCCGCTAAAACCGGCATAAAAACCAACCCACTCACTCACTCAACCGATTTCATTTAATCACAGGGAGATGGGGGTAGCCTTGTGGTTAAATTGTTCGCTTGTCACGCCGTAGACCCGGGTTTGAATCCTCACATGGATACAACGTGTGAAGCCCATTTCTTGTGTCCCCCGCCGTGATATTGCTTGAATATCGCTACAAGCGGCGTAAAATCATACTCACTCATTTTACCATATATGAGTTAATTTGAAGTTCGCTGGATTTCCGACTCTAATCGCAGTACATTCGAGCACCTCTAGGTTCAGAGTCCACATACATGTATGAGATGTGGCTGTATCTTAAGGTTTTTTCGCACTCACAGGTACAAAGAGTGAGTCGAACTCACAGGTACAAAGAGTGAGTGAGCATTAATTTACGCCGCTTTTTTGTGATATTCCATCAATATCACTGGATGGGGTTTCAGAAATGGGCGTCACACATCTTAGTGATATGAGGATAGAGCCCGTGCTATCCCACCTACACATAAAATGTACCAGTAATGGTGAGGTGAGGTGAAATTGAGTTTATCGTCGAGTCCAAGATTATTGCACTTATATAGCGACGTGCATGTGTGTGTGTGTGTTTGTGTGGCTGCTTGTACTAGTTCGGACTGATGCCGATTTATAGTGCTAGCCCACTGAGATACCATGCCGCAGTTTAACATGAATACCCCACTCAGACAAAGTATACTGACTCCGAGCCGACCAGTCCTTGTTTTAGCCCCTGAATGCCGAGCGCCAGACAGGGTAACAACATGTACCATCTTTTAACGTCTTTTGGTATGACGCGGCCGGGGATCGAACCCCGGACCTTCCGCTCTCCGGGCGGACGCTCTACCATTCGACCACGGAGGCGGTCTGTACCAGCAAAGACTTACAGCGGCGAGGCATGGGGATTTCACGATACGCCACATATAAAAAATACCCTTGATCGTTTCTGCAAACGTGTCTTACCTCGTGTCTTATCTCTCAATAGAACCTAACCGGAGGTTCCGTTAATATATTTCACAAGTAACTTCCACTAGATTCGCGAAATGTGGTATAAAGCGCCACTTTTGAGGCATTAACATAAAACATAACATAATGAATTTGATCCGTCAATAACATAATGAATGTGATCCGTCAATAACATATTGTATGTGATCCGTCAATAACATAATGAATGTGATCTGTCAATAACATAATGAATGTGATCTGTCAATAGCATAATGAATGTGATCTGTCAATAACATAATGAATGTGATCTGTCAATAACATAATGAATGTGATCTGTCAATAACATAATGAATGTGATCTGTCAATAACATAATGAATGTGATCCGTCAATAACATAATGAATGTGATCCGTCAATAACATAATGAATGTGATCCGTCAATAACATAATGAATGTGATCTGTCAATAACATAATGAATGTGATCTGTCAATAACATAATGAATGTGATCTGTTAGTAACAGAGTGAATGTGATCTGTTAGTAACAGAGTGAATGCGTTCTGGAAGTAACAGAGTGAATGTGATCTGTTAGCGACAGAGTGAATGCGTTCTGCAAGTAACAGTGTGAATGTGATTTGTTAGTAACAGAGTGAATGTGATGATATATATATATATATAATTAGTAACAGAGTGAATGTGATCTGTTAGTAACAGAGTGAATGTGATCTGTCAGAAACAAAGTGAATGTGATCTGTTAGTAACAGAGTGAATGTGATCTGTTTGTAACAGAATGAATGTGATCTGTTAGTAACACAGTGAATGCGTTCTGCCAGTAACAGAGTGAATGTGATCTGTTTGTAACAGAATGAATGTGATCTGTTAGTAACAGAGTGAATGCGTTCTGCCAGTAACAGAGTGAATGTGATCTGTTAGTAACGCAGTGAATGTGTTCTGCAAGTAATAAAGTAACATGAGTTTTTAGTTACAGATCGAATGTGATCTGTCAGTTTAAAAAGATGAAAATCTGTCAACTGCAGGGTGAATGTGTTCTGTAAGTATAAGTTTGAATTAATCTTTAAGTTACATAGTGAATGTGATATTCTGTCAGTTACACAGTGAATGTGATCTTCTGTCAGTTGCATAGTGAATGTGATCTTCTGTCAGTTACACAGTGAATGTGATCTTCTGTCAGTTACATAGTGAATGTGACCTTCTGTCAGTTACATAGTGAATGTGATCTTCTGTCAGTTACATAGTGAATGTGACCTTCTGTCAGTTACATAGTGAATGTGACCTTCTGTCAGTTGCATAGTGAGGTGATCTTCTGTCAGTTACATAGTGAATGTGATCTTCTGTCAGTAACATAGTGAATGTGATCTTCTGTCAGTTACATAGTGAATGTGATCTTTTGTCAGTTACATAGTGAATGTGATCTTCTGTCAGTTACATAGTGAATGTGATCTTCTGTCAGTAACATAGTGAATGTGATCTCCTGTCAGTTACATAGTGAATGTGATCTTCTGTCAGTTGCATAGTGAATGTGATCTTCTGTCAGTTACATAGTGAATGTGATCTTCTGTCAGTTACATAGTGAATGTGATCTTTTGTCAGTTGCATAGTGAATGTGATCTTCTGTCAGTAACATAGTGAATGTGATCTCCTGTCAGTTACAAAGTGAATGTGATCTTGTGTCAGTTACATAGTGAATGTGGTCTTCTGTCAGTTGCATAGTGAATGTGATCTTCTGTCAGTAACATAGTGAATGTGATCTTCTGTCAGTTACATAGTGAATGTGATCTTCTGTCAGTTACATAGTGAATGTGGTCTGTTCGCTATAGACCTTGGATGACCTTTTTTCAATTATTATGACTGGTAGTATTATATCTTTGACAACTCACGTTTTTTTAGTAATGCATCTCCTAATATAGTATTTTATGACTGGGAAAAGGCATAATGAAAAAAATGTACGATGGAAATATATTACCAGAAAACGTATGAAGGCGCCATATGTCTGATAAGGATCGGTTATGAAGAGGTCGCCGTGCTATAACGGGAATGTTGTGTCAATAAACAATATTCATTCACTCACTTTTCTGCAATAACTTGCGCGCGCTGGTTCTTATGTTGTTCAGGCAGGCCCTATCTTGTTCGCATGAAACCAATTACATAAATGCGTTCCTGAATTGCCATGTGCCACAAAACAAATTCGACAAATAGTAACGGATAGCATATTATCTGTTTGCAACTCATATTTAACAAACGTTATATATGGGAAAACACTTTCTTAGTAAAGTACAGATTCTCGTACTTTTTTTGGGTTGAGTCCCGTCCACACTTGCCAGAGTGAAGCACCTAATCGCCAGCACACAAAGTCAGCGATCTAACCCACTCAGCCACCAATCAGCCACCGTCACCGAGGCTTCCACTAAAATGAAAGCATGGCTCCCCAAATTTACTAACATTTTTAATAAACTCAAGTTTTCCAATGACACGATGATTTCCCCCATCTCAGAAAACATTACCAGCTGATCACCGCGATCACGTAACACAGGAAATACCAGTCAACAAATCCGAACTGAAGTATGCAATTTAATCCTATTATTATATCATCTGGTAATAAAAAAATTGTTCATTGTTTATCTGGACTAATGTTTGCAATAAATTTTATTAATAATTCATTCAATAATTATAATAATGTTTACAATAATTTCGGCGAAATCGTATGCGAAGTGATCGGTAGGCTAGATCTCACAACTCACCGTTTTTTACAGCAAAAAACACGATTAGATTACCGCTATTGACGCCTTGAAACGAAGTTTAGTTGCAAGAGAATGGATACACATATCATAAATGCCGTACCATGACTTGCGAAAAGTCAGTTTGACTATTACATGTCAACATAACGTTTTCGCAATCGAAATACATGAAGCACGGGAAGTCCGTATGGTGACTGGTCAAATTCGTTCCATACGCCAAAATATATCAAGCATACCATCTGTACCAAAGTGCAACGCTTATGGTTCTTATAATTTTAAGTATATATGGTGGAAAAAAACACGATATTGGAATATATTATTCCTGAGAAAATCATAATTTCAGATTAGTTTATGAGAAAATACACACAGTAATCTAATCTCTGCATGTAAAACAATGCCTTGGAAAGTAGGAAATACATTTTAAATGGGAAATCACCATGTCTAGTGATGTCGTATATAAAATTTCATACTTTTATGTCCAAGTTCGATATAGATCTACCTGTTTATCCACCCGAATTCGCTGAACGGATACGATGTGTGTACATTGTTCAGACAAGTACCAACCTGCCACCCCTTGAGTATATATATACCAATCGGTAGCGGGAGATCAGCCTGTCAGCCTGATCTTGACAGTCAGATAATTACATTACAGATCTGACGTAACCATTCGTTCTGCATAGTCAATAAACACCTTTGACTATGGTATCGATTGACTTCGTGTACAGTTGTAGTCTTCTGGAATTATTGTAACGGTAAGTACGTAGCTTTGATTATATAATTTTCGCAAAAGACGTTAAAATATGTCACTTGTTGTTAGCCTGCCGGGCCCTAGACATTAGGTATATCAAACAAGCAGTTATCGGTTCAGAGTATACTGTGTGTCAGAGGTGTGTTCATGTTAAACTGCGGTATGGTATCTCAGTGGGCTTGCACTATCAAATCGGCATTAGTCCGGACTTGTACGGAGCCACACACACACACACACACACACACACACACTCACGCGCACGCGCACACGCACACGCACACGCACACACACAGGTGCACGCACGACTCTGTATTAGTGTATTAGTAATAATCTTGTACGTGACGTTAAACCCATTTCACCTAACCTCAGTAAGAATATAATGCTATGTGCAGTGGCATGTACAGATCTGTCACAGTATATTTATTTACGAAATACCAACAACCATTGACTTAAAGCAAGGTATGTACGTGATATTACCACGATCTATTAATTGCATACCTTACATGTTGGGGCGTCATAATAATATGCTATAAACATTTTTCTGTCTGCAATTCTTTTTTTTATTGTTGTGGAATATTGATTTAAATGTGCATGAAATGTAAATAGCGTGACCAGTCGATTCCTTTCAGACTAAATGTTTAATTTCAAATAGATTTGCAGTGGTATGAGATTCACGTGTAATACATGCACATGAGGAATGCAAGTTATGTGTTATGCTACGCGATATGCTGTCTTACAGGGGTAGTGTATGGTGTGCAGCGGTGGCAGCTGACGTAAACTTGTGATACGTTGAAACACGTTATAGTGTCGTGAACTAATTAGGCCACATGAGCTCCAGTGGGTTAACTAATCTATCGGAGATACGGGACGTGATCTATATACAGTCATATAGAACGTGTGTTTGGTTGACACTTGAACATTGATCGCTGATAAATTCTGGCTGATCTGTCCAGTCAAAATGTCCCGTTTGGTTGGTTGGTTTTGTTGTTTAACGCCGCACTCAACAATATTGCAGCTATATGGCGGCGGTCTGTAAATAATGAGTGATAATAATTAATATCATGAGCATCGATCCACGCAATTGGGATCGATGACATGCATCAACCAAGTCAGCGAACCTGACCATCGATCCCGTTCGTCGCCTCTGACAACAAGCATTGTCGCAGTTTACGGCAAGCATGGGTTGCTGAAGACCTATTCTATCTATTCGCTCTATGAGAGTGGGGCTCCCGATGCCTGGCGCTCGGTGGAGTTCCGTTTAAGATTGGCCTCGCTGTAAAGCGCGGCGCCGTAGTGTTTACCGGTCCATTCTGGCTTCTGTCTATAAGATTGTCGGATGCGGTATTCTAGGATCGTGTGTGGCCGAAGGGCGGGGTGGGTGGGTGGGGGTGGGGGTGTGTGACAGGGCGAGGTGGGGTCGTAGGTTGCATTAAGACAGGATATGGTGTGGTCGGGTGGCGGGTGATGGGGTGTGACAGGGCGAGGTGGGGTGGTAGGTTGCATTAAGACAGGATATGGTGTGGTCGGGTGGCGGGTGATGGGGTGTGACAGAGTGATGTGGGGTGGTAGGTTGCGTTAAGACAGGATATGGTGTCGTCGGGTGGCGGGTGATGGGGTGTGACAGAGTGATGTGGGGTGGTAGGTTGCATAAAGACAGGATATGGTGTAGTCGGGTGGCGGGTGATGGGGTGTGACAGGGTGATGTGGGGTGGTAGGTTGCATAAAGACAGGATATGGTGTAGTCGGGTGGCGGGTGATGGGGTGTGACAGGGTGATGTGGGGTGGTAGGTTGCATTAAGACAGGATATGGTGTGGACGGATGGCGGGTGATGGGGTGTGACAGGGTGATGTGGGGTGGTAGGTTGCGTTAAGACAGGATATGGTGTGGTCGGGTGGCGGGTGATGACGTGTGACAGGGTGATGTGAGGTGGTAGGTTGCGTTAAGACAGGATATAGTGTGGTCGGGAGGCGGGTGATGGGGTGTGACGGGGTGATGTGGGGTGGTAGGTTGCATTAAGACAGGATATGGTGTGGTCGCGTGGCGGGTGATGGGGTGAGATAAGGCGATGTGAGCTGGTAGGTTGCATAAAGACAGGATATGGTGTGTCGGCTCTCGGGTGGTAGGGCGTGATAGGGCGATGTGGGTTGTAGGTTACAGAACGACGGGATATCGTGTGGTCGGGTGGGAGTTGGCGGTTGGTTGGGTTTGATAGGGCGACTTGGGTTGTTAGGGTGCATAAAGACAGCATATGGTGTGGTCGGTCGGTGGGGTGTGATAGGGCATGGTAGGGCAATACGGGGTGGTAGGTATGGAAATGTACAATACGATAGCACATGAAATTGTCATCTACCCTTTTCTTTTGCTTTTGTAGGCAAAATGTCACAAGTGTCTGCGGGCAATGTTAATTTAAACAGTTCTCTCATTGACTTCTCATATTCCTATTTTATACTTCCGTAAACGTAAGAACACGATGGGACATGTTTCTTTAACTATTTAAATATTTTATCTTTTATTAGTATCCGCATGACGACGGGGCATCCTTCAGAACCTCTGTAAGCGAGCTGAGGGCTGAATGGCGCCAAGAAGAACTACACTGCTGTGTGACCTTGCAGTGACACGTAAACTGTAAGTCTTTTCATTGGTGGAGATAACCAGATATTACAGATGTCGAACAATTCAAATCTAAACAATGAAAGTCCAAATAGCAGAGCTTCAGGACCGAGCCCTGGGAAGAAGAAACACAACATGGAAGGTGTTGTGTCCCTAGAACTGACGTACCGCTTCATGGCGGACCTAAAGAAGAACAAGCAGAAACGGGAAGCTTTCTCTATGATAGACCTGCTCAACACTCAGCTCACAAATACAAGGATAAAGCAGATTGAAAGAATTGAGCAAACTCTTATTTGTCAATGTACTGAAATATGCAGCAGATATGGAAACATACCCATAGACGAAATGTACACTTTTGGCACCCAAACGTTCACTTTAGCCTTGTTCAGAAGAGAATTAGTGAACAATAATATCGAAGTTGATAAGCCTTTAACCAAATTTGATGAGGAAGAGGTTGCATCCCATGAGATAGTGAGATGTTCACCCGATGTAACGGTTGCCAATAAAGGGGAGAATTTTGACGATCTGAACAAAAGACAACAGCAACGACGCCTGGCACTGATCAAGAAACGGTCGCAGAAGAGTCTTACCTTCCTCTCCGAGTATCAGCTTTCCCCCAAAGCTATCGTTATGACTTCGCCCATAGGCAAAGAGTGCCGAGTTTGCTATGACACCGATAGCCAGAAACTGATGAAGTCTGACAACCTTCGCTCTGTTGTTGGTATCATGGACAGGTTTTGTATAAGTGAGGCTGCTTATCACGAAATTGCACAATTATATCCGAACCTACCCCGCACACATTCAGTTATCAATACCCGTCGCGAAATGACTGCTACCTTCAATATCGAGCGAGTACCGGGCGATGTCAATGGAGCAAGGATTAGCTTTAGATGTGAACTTCACAAAAAGTTACAAGACGTCTTGAAAGAAAATCCCCAACAGAATAAAGTCATGGTTCAGTTAAGCGTTGACGGAACCCATGTCAGTCGCATATCCAGCTATGTGGTATTTTCATTTCGGTTGGTAGACATGTCGGATAGCCATGCTACAGATGATATTAAAACTCTGGCTATCTTAAACTGCAGAGAAGACTATATCAAACTCAAAACTTCGTTACAGCCTTTATTCGAAGAAATTAACTCCGTAATTGAAGATGGACATGTGAATATAGATGACAAGACTGTAGCAGTTAAGATTGTTTTCTGTGCTGACATGAAGATGATCCTGACAATCCTTGGACTTGGAGGCGTCTCCTGCAATCACGCCTGCGCTTGGTGTTTGATGCATAGAGGTGACAGACACAACATGGCACACCCATTGGACTACTTCAACAGCGACGACATGAAGAGGAACTGGAGACAAATAACAGACCATGCTGTGCAATGTGAGTTCGGGGTTCAACACACTCCTCTCTTGAAAATTGAGGTGGAGGACTTCATACTAGATGAGCTACACCTCCTGCTCCGAATTACGGATCTTTTGGAGAAGAACCTGATTGATGAGGTAAAGACACGAGATGAAGAAGAACGAACAACATCGAGAGAAAAGCCTACACATATGGACAAACTTGTAGAGGCCATCAAATCCTGTGGAGTATCGTTTTCATTTTGGGAGGAAAAAGAAACCAGGAAATTGAAATGGACGAGTTTGACTGGTCAAGAAAAGAGAAAACTTCTGGCTAAGCTTCCCCACAAATTGCAAGGCAAGCTCAAACCAAATACAGAGGAGAAAGTCCTTAGCCTTTGGTCTTTGTTATATGAAATACATAGCAAAATCACATCCCTGGGGGATGTGGATGCGGAGGAAGTGTTTCATTTATCCAGAAGTTGGGTACAAACGTTCTTATCACTTGATAAACACCTACCAGGATACAGCGAAAAGAACATAACTCCCTATGTTCATTGCATGGTGTACCACGTACCCTTTATGATACGTAAATTTGGTACGTTGAGATCGTTCAGCTGCCAAGCTTTCGAGAAGCGAAATGATGTTATAAAGAAGATACATCAACGGAAATCAAACAAGTGGGACCCCACCGTGGAGGCTCTCCAGATCTGCAAACGCATGGAAGAAAGTTCCAAGTCCAAAAGAGACAAACGACAATACACCAAGCGAAAACCTGAATATTGGAACGAGGAGATCCGACTTAATCGACAAGCGAAGCGAGCTAAACTGGATCGCATAAACAGCCAGCCAGTTGAAGCCGTTGAGCTGGACAGTATGAGTCGGCCTGAATTGAGAGACTATATACGGGGAAAGGGTGTCAGAACAAAGGCCAACAGTCAGGAATATCTTCTGAAGTTGGCAAAGGGACTTGATACATAAATGACGTGTGCTTCGTTGACTTCAATTTTTTCACACAACTTGAGTGTATTTGGTTTCTTTTCACATAGCTTGTAAACGCTTTGAAGTAGGGTGAAGTGAACATGTGCATAGTATCTATTGACGTATCAATTATGTAAACGATCCGTTGTTTGCTTGAATTCGTACTGTGTTCACCAGGCATAACGTCATTTGTTGGTCGCTAAGAGTCTTGTATATTCAAGATGTACACTCAGGCTTAACGTAAACCAATATAACAGGCAACTAGACTTATGGAGCAAGTTCACCTGTAGGTGTACACAATACGTACAATAGTTAAAGAAATAACCTAACGCACATTACAAGTTGTGATTATGTCACAGATGAATACCCGAAACAAAATTTGCTCACGTGGGTATTTGTTAATGTTTACTCCTTTTGAAAAGACCTGATTTTAGTTGTTCACTATAAGTTGTAGCAGGATAACGAGGCGTACATTGGGTTTTATGTGTCCCGCGTTAGCTTTTATACTACGAGCCGGAGTGAGTGAGTGAGTGAGTGAGTGAGTGAGTGAGTGAGTGAGTGAGTGAGTGAGTGAGTGAGTGAGTGAGTGAGTGAGTGAGTGAGTGAGTGAGTGAGTGAGTGAGTGAGTGAGTGAGTGAGTGAGTGAGTGAGTGAGTGAGTGAGTGAGTGAGTGAGTGAGTGAGTGAGTGAGTGAGTGAGTGAGTGAGTGAGTGAGTGAGTGAGTGAGTGAGTGAGTGAGTGAGTGAGTGAGTGAGTGAGTGAGTGAGTGAGTGAGTGAGTGAGTGAGTGAGTGAGTGAGTGAGTGAGTGAGTGAGTGAGTGAGTGAGTGAGTGAGTGAGTGAGTGAGTGAGTGAGTGAGTGAGTGAGTGAGTGAGTGAGTGAGTGAGTGAGTGAGTGAGTGAGTGAGTGAGTGAGTGAGTGAGTGAGTGAGTGAGTGAGTGAGTGAGTGAGTGAGTGAGTGAGTGAGTGAGTGAGTGAGTGAGTGAGTGAGTGAGTGAGTTTTGGTTTTACGCCGCTTTTAGCAGTATTCCAGCAATATCACGGCGAAATGGGCTTCACACATTGTACCCATGTCGGGATTCGAACCCGGGTCTTCGGCGTGACGAGCGAACGCTTTAACCACTGGGCTACCCGACCGCCCCTCGAGTGGTATGAAACCTAACGAGGGACGCGTGAAGGTGTCTGCATAGGAAGTCGATCTTTCGATGTGATACTATTCCCAGGAAGTCGAACAGTGGATTTCACCCGCCTGGGATCGTTAAAGCATGACCTTGCTGCTGGAAACACAGATATTGCAAGATCAGCTTCACATGCCATACATCTTGTCAACCGCATATATATCTATGTGTTTGTGTGCACGACTGTGATATGATAATGATATATAAAATGGTAAATACAAATCAGAAATGTGATCCGGACTAACGGCTTACAACAACATGGTCTATTGTACCGTTCAGCCTTTATTTGCCAAAACCTCACGAAGTCGACCAGGGGGATTTACCTACCCGTATCCAGTCACTGGAAACTCGACTTCGGGTGCATAAACCCGCATAAAACCTCATGTACCCCTCGTGATCCTGCTACAACGAATGTATCTTAACGACATGTTTTAAGATATTTTAATATGTTCAACAATTTTTTTTTAAATCCAAATTGATAGAAAACAGCTCTTCGATTGAGCTGAGGTTAGCTTGCACTATCCAAGTGTCTCTCAGAAATGAAGATTTATTCCCCCGCTGAGAAATTTATTACCCCCCAAGGCGGGTTACACAATTTTATCAAGATCACGTGGACCAATAAGATCTCATTCTGACATGGAGGAATGATAAATGTACTGATACGTTTTGTAAACGGACGAAATCCTTGTCAGGTCTGCACGTCTTTACATGAATGTTATGTACAATGTGTCATATTTATCGATGTAAGATATGACAGTCGGTCATGAATTATCCGCCCTGATATGTAAGTAGGGAATTGAAAAATTAATCCACTGATATCAAGGCGACTATGCTTGTCGTAAGAGGCGACGACGGGATCGGGTGGTCAGGCTCGCTGACTTGGTTGATGCATGTCATCGAATCCCAATTGCGTGGACAGATGTCCATGATGTCAATCACTTGATTGTCTGGTCCAGACTCGATTATTTACAGACCGCCGTCATATAGCTGGAATATTGCTGAGTGGGGCGTTAAACTACAAATAAACAAACAAAACAAACACTGATATCAGTCACGATGTTCAAGGCAGTATTGCTACAAATTTACGACGGTTATATTTTACGGCTAATATGATAAGAAATTTATGTAAACATATTTCTACTAGGGCTACCTGATACATTTTTTTATGCATATAAGATTCACGTCTGACATTAGCTTTCCTACTGACACCGCTGTAAATGCATAATATGAAATGACACATGTCATTTCGACATGATGTGTGTACAGGATCCGGACAAACAGATAGCTTGCCATAATTTGAAATTTGACATTGTAAATTTATTAATAAATTTACAATGCATGTGGGATCCACGTGCAGTATAATCTTACATCAATACACATTTTAGTTTCAAAGTAAAAGAGACGAGTGTCTAAAAGAATATGATAAGTAAGGTCAATACCACCGTTACTTTGCCTTTGATTATGTGTTTTGCGTTGCAATTGAACAAGGTATTCCCATCTCGGGGGCTCGGATATCCCAGTCGTCTAAGGCGCCGCGATTCGCTGTGCACGCCAGAAACCAATGATTGTGGGTTCAAATCCCGGTTCGCCCCGATTATGTTTCTAGGTTTGTCAGCACCATACCCGTGCTCGTGGGTTTCACCGAAGTGGTAAACGTCTGAGACCTGCATCACTTCGGGCTTTCCTCCAACAATAAGCTGACACGCCGCGATATAACTGGAATACTGTTAAAAGCGGCGTTAAACCCAACTCACTCACTATTCCCGTCTCAATCAGTATGATAGTGGTTCCCGACATTACGTCATCAGGCGAAATAAGAAGAGAATGACATCATCGCAGTGATGTTATAAGTATTGTTTCAACGTTGATCTTTCTTAGCAATAAATGTGTTTCAAGTTTGATCAAACTATTTACAGTAGCCTGGCTAACGCAGTGTGTGTGTGAGAGAGAAACAGACCCCATGGTAAGTTTTGCCCTTGAGTGAGTGAGTGAGTGGGTATTGGGTAGGTGGCTTAATGAGAACATGCCCACAGAATATTCGTAACACGGACACACCTGTGACCACACGCTAAACTATTATTCAGCTCAAACCAGGTAATCCAAAGAAATGGGTTATTACACACTACCTATTCATAACATTCACTATGCATGTACACACAATGTTGCTGGGTGGTGCGTTAATCACAAACACACTGTTGTGACAACCCTAAAGAATATCAATAGCGGTAGGGGGGGGGGGGGGGGAAATCGATATTTAGTTTCTAAAAACTACACGCGTCAGTTCTCGACCTACCGGCGCGTGTGTGTCTTGTTGCCAAGGTACAAAACATTCAAGCAGACGCCATGTGAAAGCGTGTATGTAAACAGGGCGATGTTCAAGTCGATTTGACGTTGTTCAGTCATTGCTGTGAATTCTCCGGTGGTCATATGCGTGTCGGGGTACACGGCTCGCCTAGTCGTCAAAGGCGCCGCGATTCGCTGTGCAGAGTTGCGTCCCTTGGGCACGCCAGAAACCTTTGATTGTGGGTTCGAATCCTGATTCGCCCCGACTATGTTTCTAGGTTCGTCAGCACCATACCCCTGCTCGCGGGGTTCACCGATATAACTGGAATACTGTTAAAAGCGGCGTTAAACCCAACTCACTCACTCACTCACTCATCATATGCGTGTCACCGTGTATCGATTCTACTCTCGTAACGGTCTAATGATCTCTCCGCTCCATAGCTTTATTTCCGACTCCTCCGGCGGCCGCCGTTGTACAGTGTCAGTTCATTCTATGTCAGAGATTTAGTGGCCCGACTTTTTCATTCTCCTGTGAATTACTGGCACACGTATACCATGTATTGACTTGATGTATGTTATCATTTGAAAATGATTTTTGTAACTATTATTTTCAAACTTATATATGTACACTCAGATATTTCTCATGTATTTATGGTCATTTTGCCTCCTCAATAATTGTACATGGAGTGTTGTAAATCGTTAATGCTACCACTGGATAGCTTATATTCAGTGCTCTAGTTTGATACATCTTCTGTATGGATATAGCAGTTAGTTTGATTCGTGTTTACCCCGTGTTTAGAAAAACACGTTGGCTAAGCGCCTCAGTCTATTCTATTACCCGGTTGTCCAGGAGCGATTGACCTCTCTGAGGTCCGCGCTCCGTGTATATGTACTTCTGTCAAATCTTGTGTCTTTCAAACATTTGCTGAGCTAAGCTGCTTCTGTATCTGCACTGATTTAATTAATCAGTGATCTTTGTCATCGCAGATTGGGTTTATTTGATCGTTTTACTGTCACCTATTAGTACAGCTAGCTAATAAACCTTGTTAACCTATTACCACGTTTTATTATTACTTGATGCTTGTTTTATGACACCCCTGATCATTCGAGCACACCTCCGTAACACTGCGGACATGTACATTCTTCAATATGTAAGGACCGCCACCGTGGTCTAGTGGTAGAGGGGGCACGGGTGGCCCAGTCGTCTACGGCGCCGCGATTCGCTGTGCAGAGTTGCGTCCCTTGGGCACGCCAGGAACCTATGATTGTGGGTTCGAATCCCGGTTCGCCCCGATTATGTTTTTAGGTTTGTCAGCACCATAACTTCGGGCTTTCCTCCTACATTAAGGCTGACACGCCGCGATATAACTGGTATACTGTTAAAAGCGGAGTAAAACCCAACTCACTCACTCTAGTGGTAGAGCATCCATCCGGAGAGCGGAAGGTCTGGGGTTCGATCCCCGGCCGCGTTATACCAAAAGACATTAAAAGATGGTACTTGTTGTTACCCTGTCTGGTGCTCGGCATAAAGGGGCTGTGACTTGGTTGATGCATGTCATCGATCCCAATTGCGTGGATCGATGCTCATGATGTCAATGTCTGGATTGTCTAGCCCAGAATCGATTTTTTACAGACCGCCGTCATATAGCTGGAATATTGCAGAGTGCGGCGTTAAACAACAAAGAAACAAACGGTACTACAGTGTGTTTGGCTGTAACCAGGCTGTGCAGAATGTGAGGCCTAGTGTGAAGCCAAAATGTAAACACTTCTTCAACTATGTATTAAGTATTAATATATTTGAAGTACCTGCTACCAGCGATAAGTTTTAGTGGCATAAATGTAGCCATGTGAGTAAGTTGGGTTGAACGCCGCATTTAACAGTATTTGAGTAACTCATGGCGTATCAGCTTTATGTGGGAGGAAAGTGATGCAGGTCTTAGACGTTTACCACTTTGGCGAAACCCAGGAGCGTGGGTATGGTGTTGACAAACGTAGAAACATAATCGGGGCAAACTGGGATTCGAACCCACAATCATAGGTTTCTGGCGCAACACGAATTTCGGCACCTTAGAATCGGCGCCAACCAAGCCAAAAAGAGCATGTTTGTGTTTTAGGAATTTACTCTGTTTATGAAACCTGGCTTA